CACTTCTATACTACCTTCATCCGAATTTTCTATTTCCCTAAATGGTCATTCTGCCTCTTCTCCAATACCAAACGAGGGGACAACAATCGAATTTCATACACGCAGGTACACCTATAAGTACAGTAGATAAAGATATAATTAAGGAACGATTAGGAGCGGATGTGGGCCAGCTCGAGAAAATATAATAATTGGGACAGCAGAACCAATTGAAGAGTTATTAAAACGAAGGAAAATAAGAAAATTTTTCTTAATGAGGCGACAAATAATTGAGCCCCCTTGCATATATGCAGAAAATTGTAAATTAGAACATGATGAAGGAAAGGCTCATGAGTATCATGAAGATTATGAAGACATGTCAGGATGTCAAACTGAAGGGTTCTCCAATTGTGACACAGAAACAGGATTAAGTTATGGGTGTTAGCGCTAGGGTATTTAAAATGAAAAATATACACAGAAATGAATAATATATAATTATTATTATATTTATATACATCAACGTAAAATTAGTGTTAGTTTTTACGATTTACATTTGTTACATTTACATTTGTATTATGATAAACCTTTGAAGATTATTATGTAAGAGAATGATAAAAATACGTATAGGGAATCGACATACTATATATGACTTAAAGAGCAAATAAAAATAGCATATACGAACGATCTAAAGGGAATATGGAAAAAAAGATAAAATCTGATACGTCAAAAATTGAAGTCAGAAACATGTATCAGAATTACTCGAAATTAAAGATTAAAAATATTTCATACTATTAAGTATTTCAAGTTAAGTATTTCCGAAGGAACTTTCGTACTTATTATTGGTTCCTTAGTATTTAAATTAAGGTTTCTAATCATTTAAATTAAGGTTTCTTATCATTTATATTAGAGTTTCTGATCATTTACATTATTATTCATATTGTGGATTCTTGTAATTCAAGGGAGTTTTCTATCATTTATATTAGGGTTTCTTGTCATTTAAAGTTTGTTTTTTGTTATATATTTTAGAATCTAATTAGGAATGTTAAATTCATAGAATATGTATATAGAATGGGTGATCGATTTAGTCGGTCTCGACTCTGAAACGAACTATTTTATTGGTTGTCTCATTTATGATCTAGATCTTTAAAACCTTAGATGTGCGTACATATGTACGTACACATGTACATATCAGATATAATGAGTAGTCCAGACCGATCCGGCCAAGGGCCGATGGTTCATATATTTGGTCGATCAGTTTCGAATATCCAGTGATGGTAAAAAAAAATGGACAAATTTGGTAAAAAGTCTAGAATATTTCAACGGCATTTCAGTTTCTCAGTTGAATAATAAATTCACCGAATGGATAGAATGGGAATACAATTTAAACATGGGTCCACAATACTATAATTGCTATAATTGCCATGTGGGAGCAAGCATAAGTAACAAACAAATATGTTTAACGATAAGGGGACTAATAAAGTTACTAATAAAGTTTAGAACACAATTTTACGAAAAGGCTTGTAAATATCTATATTAAAAATGGATGTTAAAGCTCGAATAGATTAGTTTCACTTATTTGTCTTGCTGAAGTTTGATCCTTGCTTAAAGTGCTTAAAGTGCTTAAAGTGCTAAAAGTGCTTGAAAGTGCTTGAAGTGCTTGAAGTGCTTGAAGATAGAAAATGATAAACGGTTCATCAATGATTAATTAATACACAGTTTCATAACTCCGGAATTATTATTACGTCAATGAAAGAATATCAATGACTAATATTTTATTATTAACATTACAGTAAATCTAGTAAATCCGCAGGAAAAAAAAAAGTTATGCAGTAACAACAAAATTTAAATTATACCGCAGAAACTTTCGGAGTCGAGAGTTGTCCAGAAACTATACATGTGTATTTGTTGTACATTAATGTTTACATTTTACTATTATTCATATATGTATAATTTATTTTTTTCATACCATTGACTGCGTGAACCTGCGTCTAGCCCTTCTTTTATTTTTCTTTATTCCCTTACAATAAAAACAATTAATATAAAATGACATAATTAACCTATCCAAATAAAGCATTTCGGTTCAATTTTGTAACCGAATCATCATTGATGATCATTGATACGTATTATATATATATTATTAAAATAATATAATATAATATAATAAAAAAACTATTTATACCGTAAACTTCCCGCGAGATTTCTTTTTTTTAGTTGCATATCAAAAAATATCTTTTTTTTTATCAATTTACTACTAACTCCTAAATCAATTTTTTTTATAAATTCAATAAAGTCATTGTTTAAAATTATACTATATTAGAAAAGAATGTCACTTGATTATACTTTTTCTCAACACTCAAGTATACATTATTCATCATTTCAAAAAAAGTCTTTAACAGCTCCACCGCAAGTAATGATCCGTGAAGATATTCCTTTATTTAAAGAAGAATGGATAGAAGACCTGACTCATTATTCAAATACCACTTCTATACTACCTTCATCCGAATTTTCTATTTCCCTAAATGGTCATTCTGCCTCTTCTCCAATACCAAACGAGG